TGTTCCTCTGCTTGGTCTTAAGATGATTAGGCAGAAGATTCTAGGATTCTTTGTTTATTCAGGGACTGTACACACTTCGCTTTGATTCAAGAAACAGGCAGGTTTATAAGCAAAATAAGAATTTATTTTACAAACAATTAAGCCTTGACAAATTATTATTATTATTATGACAAAACTATTATTTACTGTGAGTGGATGCTAACTAAGAGATGGGTGTCTGGAACCTAGGTGTGAATATGGTGTCAGAGTCAGAATCACGAGAAAGCTGAGTTCTGGATGGAAAAGCTTTGGTTTGTATATAAGCTATAAAGTTATTACTATCAAAACCACATACAGACACTATCTCACTGTGTTCTGCGTACCCAAGTGGAGATGCCCTTTGGATTCGAGATGCCAGGAGGGGGTCGGAGGCCCCGGTACCGGAGTCCGTAGACTAACTCCTAGTACGACCAGGTCAGTCCAGGATCGTGCTCCAGGTAACAACAGTTGGAAGGAACCGAACATCTGGGGACTCTTAAGGAGTCTAAACAAATCAGCTTTCCTGCAGGAAAACTATCTTGTTGTTCAGCTTCGCAGGTACAAAAAAGGTTTAAGGTTTTGACGACGTGTCAAAATCCTTCTGGTTAAAGAGGTGCACAGATGGCTGGTCTGAAGCTTTTCTCTAGAACCCTCGAACTGTTGACTGTTTGAACTGCTGTAAAACCAAAGGGATCTGGTTTTTAGCAATTGATGTTATCTTGGTTAGCAACCGAGAGTTGACAAGCCTGAGGATATTATGATTGACTAGCCAACCACAGATTGGCACATTTGAGGGTATTACCAAGCATCAGAAACACACCCTCGTGATGGAGACTCTGAATGTCGGCTAAAGGTTACCTTATGTGCCATGTATTAACGTAACCTTACTCTAAGTGCAAATGTTATGATCTCGTCAAGTAAACATACTAAAACCATCATTGAGCACAGATTAAGGAACATTTCATTATTTATAATTACTATCAATAGCAATAACAAAAGTTCATTCAATGATTCTTTTTTTTAATTATAAAAATATTCTTTTCTTCTTCCATCTGGGAATTAAGGAGTTTATTTGAGAAGAGTTCCTGTGATGGACCATGGAGGAGAAAATTGTTATTGTTTATTTCTTTATTATCTCTGCAGTCCATCTGGTGTGAGGAAGTAGGCTCTGATTAAAGGGCCTACGTGTAGACTCCCAGACTCCTGTCAGGGGAAAATATACGTAGGATGTTTGATAGCCAGGGTAAGTTGACCTGGCTGCGCATATGACCCGTGGGATCTCAAAATCAGGCCATTTAGTGACTTTACACTGTCCATGCAAAATTATTTTTGTAAACCTTAACAACTAATTTATTTGAACACGACATTTTTTAAAGTGCATGTGTCATGGTCCGTGGTGAGCTGAACTGCAAGTAACCTGGCTTTTCCCTCTGAGCATTGTTCCCACAGGTGGGCGTGTCTGAGAGCTCCAGCTGCAGCTGATCTCCTCATCAAGGCCCAGGGGATTTAAGGAGCAGTGTGACACTTCACCACGCCGGATGATTACTCTGTTTGGGTAGCTTCAGCCTCAACCGGACCTTGAAACTTGTATTCTTGTTAACCTGTCGCCAGTAAAACCCTTGATGCCCTCTCCTGCTCTCCTCCAGGTTCCTCTTAATTCATCATCAGCTCCAGAACAAGCCCGGATCTCGGTCTACCTGACGCACTGCTTCATCCCCTGGCCACCCGCTCTCAGCCGCTCACCAACCAACATCCATTCCTGCTCCTCCACCTCTGGACAACCAATACCTCACCTTTGGATCTCCTCAGCTCACCCGGACCCGACAATCCTTCCCGTACCATTACCACTACCAAGTAACCGTAAGACCAGTCTCCAGATAAGTTCCCATTGGGTTACGCCTTATAGTCACTCTGTCTCCCTCCTTAGAATCTCTCCTGGATTCCTGCTGCCAGTCCTGCATCTCGTCAGTTCCCGTCTCTTACTTCTTATTTAGTAAATAAAACCTTTTACTTACATTCCTGCTCTCCGTGTGTGGATTCAGCATGTCGTGGGTCAAGAAATTGCCACCCAGACGTGACAGCATGGTGTAAGAATAGCATACTGTAGGCAAACTTGTGTACTGCAGTGCATGTTTCAAAATGGTCTGTGTCAGTAAGGCAACGCGGACATGAAAGCAACTTAGCCCCATTGAATTACATTCTTTGTTCAGGACATCCATGAGCTGACTGGAAGGGAAGGAGCAGGCCTTTTCCAACGGCACTACAGAGTGACTTGGGTTGGTGCGGTTTGGTTTGGCCACTTTTCCCAATCCCACAGCTCGGCATTTTCTCTTTACTTTTCAGTCCCTTCTCCGTTGTGGTTCAAAGCACTAAGCTGGGCCGGCATCACGACTGTCGGCTGTTGACTGGCTAGAGGGTGAAGTCACTGGTGGCTCCAGAGCTGCTGCTTGAAGCCATTTCTTGGTTTAGAGTCTGACAAAAAGCCATAAAGATCACCTCACCTCAGTTTGCTTATCTCATGTTATTTTTGTCTCTGGTTAAGATTTTCCCCCTCCCTACCCATGTCACGCCCTGTCCTGTCTACTCTTAGGTTTGGTCTGTTCTCCGTTAATTGCTCCCACCTGCCTCTCGTTTCCCAATCACCATAGCTCCCGCTCCTCTTGCATGTAAACCCCTTCTGTTCTGTGTTCCCTGTCGTGTCATTGTTTCAGTGTCCAGTGTGTGTTTCTAATAAACCTTTGTGAAACAGACTCACCTGTTCGCCTTATTCCTCCCCGCGTTTGGATCCTCATCTGATCACCGCTCCACTCACCAGGTACGCACGCTCGTGACAACCCGCCAGTACCACAGATCACCCTTCATTTTCTAAATGTGAGAAACCAACAATCCCACAGCCAGCTGAGAAGGAAATCTACTTCAATATAATGTTTCTTCCAACATGACTGAGACATTAGAATGTTTTGTGATTATTTCAACCAAACACATGCAGAGACACTTTGGAAGACAATCTTCGATTACGCCCCATGGGTGAGCTGTTGCAATGGTTCGTAACCTTTTAAGGTTTGAGTCGTTGAAAGTTGGGATTCATTCTAAAAGGCCAACCTTAATTCCCACATGAGAAATTATCTTTGAATCTCCTAAAAAACTGAAATCACTTTGCTATCTGCTGCAAGTATAGATATGTACTACTCCAAAACTCACTTCAAATGAACTATCCATTCATGAATCAAGGTCTAAGCTCCTGTCCTGTGTGTCAGTGTTTATAAGCCACAAGATTTATTTAAATTTGGTTAGAAAAACCATTTTTCTTTTACAACAATTTATCACTTAATAGACAAATTGCCCAGCCTCAAAGGCAGGGCCAAAGACAGGGCATGACGTGTCAGAGACACCCAGCAAGACACATAATAATGGCCTGGACTCGCTGCCATTTAGTCCCTGTCATACCCGACGAGCTTCAAAATGCCACCAACAGCATGCATATAAATCATCTGAGGAAAACAAAACGGAAACAAAATACCCGGTGCATTTTGAGCTCCTACAAAGGGGAAGGAAGCTGAAGAAGTCTTTGAATATTAGGATGCTTTTTGTCCAAATTAGAATCCAATAAAACTGATGAGTAAGAAACCAATTGAATCTGCCAAATGTGTTTAAAAATAAAAAGGCATTAACTTGTTTAGCTTAAAAAAATCAGATTTAACTAGGGACAAATGAGGTGACGTATTCTCTCTCACACACACACACACACACACAAAACTTAATCAGTTATGGATTGCCAGCCCAAAGCCTGACAGTATTGAGCTTCCATCTTCAACTTGACAGAGAAAAAGAGATTTAAGGAGTCGGACAAAAAATACATAGGACCCCCATTGTCCAGGAGGGATCAGACAAATGAGCTCTGTCACCAGGTATTAGGCTTTGTTTTGCCAAGTGATCTCAAACCCTCCCTGATGATCAGCTTGTCCTATCCATCTTATTCAAATGATAAAAATGATAATTTGATGGAATATACTTCAAGCTAATGTTAATGCACATTAAATTACTTTATCACCGTTTTTATGGAACCTGTCAGATGTTACAATTAGTGGCACTTCTGAGCATTTTTCATATTGTCTTCGTGGTTGTGAAAGAAATTCTTCACTGACGACTACTCAACACCACCCAGAACAAATTGAGCTGCTTTAGATAAAGTAGTATACTGTCGCCATCTACTGACCAAATATAATGCAGCTGCAATGCAAAGTATTAATTTTAAATGAATGTTTTGTTTTACATTTTTTTACATTTTGTATTGTTTTGATGTCCCTTACGTTTTATCCTTACAAAGAGAATGGGGTGATCAGAATAATAATCCTGCTGCAGATGAACTTATTGCAAAGTTTTGGACAAATAGGATTAAATATTATTTCTGTCATCTGGAACAGTCATAAACATGCATGATTCAGATAGGATTTAAAAGTTTTAGATGAAAAATGGGGTATAAAACAAAACAACCTATAATCCTGACAATACTTTTGTCAAGAAGTAAACCCACGGCTATGACATCCCAAGTTATCTTTCCTTGAAAAGAATATGCAGAAAAAATAAGAATCATGAATAAAAAATAAAACATCATGAGGACATATTTTCATTTCTTGTTTGTTTTTTACCTCTCGTTCATTCTGGATTGTTGTTTTGGTACATTGACTAAATTTTATTTTCATTTATTTTTATTTAATGTAGTTTTTACCCTGATTAGTTTTTTTCTATCTCAGCATGAATTTAAAAGCATTTTAGATGAGAAGACATTTAAAATAACCATTTGAGGGCTTTATATGATTATATGAACAAGCAGAAATTATTTGCCTGCCTGGTGTGCATGACCCATAATAACCTTATTTATTACACACACTAATAATTTTGCGTCATTAATCATATTACATAGTTATACAAGTTCGTCGGGGTGTTGCCTCTATTTGCATAATGCTGAGTGATGCGATCTAACCACTTATTATGCGGAAAAGCGAGTTAGAACAACAACCTCAGCATTTCACTTCCTTCTGTGCAGTTTTCAGCCCGGAACATGACTTGTGTTCAGGTTGTGGCTGTAGGAACACTCTGGTGGAATAACTGGACTCTAGATCGTTTGATCTGCTAAACTTAAGAGAAGACTTGGACTGGATCGTCTTCTGAAGGTGGGATCGCGTTGTGGGCGCAGTTCTGCGGGGCCTACCTGTGCGGACTTGTCCGCAAACCCAAGGTGGGGGAGTGAAACTCACGTAGGCACACCTTTTTCTCTCTCTCTCTGTCTCTCTCCTCTCTGAAAGGCGGATGAGTGGCAGATCTAGACCTTGGAATAATGTCGGCAAATGAACGAACGATCCGAACTTTTAAAGAACTCCTGCTACGGACTGGGAATGATGGCTGCGCAGACTGCGGCGCGCCGGGTAGGTGTACGAAACGCGTTTAGAAGTTCCCGCAAGAGTTAAACCTTTTGTAGTAGTGATATCTAAGGCATTATATTCTCCACCCTGCAGTTAAATCATATATTTTATTTGTCTGATCAGCATAGAAACAAACTATTTTCCTTCGTATATTAACTGATTATGTAAAAGAATGAAAACATCTGAGGAGGAGGAGCTTTACTTGTTGCTGCTCAGGTAAGGCTGTTCTGGATTTAGAAGAAAAGCAAAGTTCAGCAAGTCCAGACGTGACTGTTATGTAGGACAGTCGGCTCATACTATTTATCCAGCAGACCTCCAGACATCTGGGCTCCTTATGTCTGCTTCAAAGTTAGGCACAAAACATCTCTGGAATTTTAAAGTTAAGGGAAATTACTGGGATTTGCAAGTGTTTTCCACGTTTGACCTTATTGCTTCACTGAACTGAAATGCATGTAAATATGCCAAGGAATGTAAATAATTGGATATAGAAAGAGGAAGAAACACTTTTTTGTCAGTTTTATCTTTTTGTGTGTGTGAAATCTTTAATTTGTTGTGAAATGTGAACATACATGCCACTCCCTACTGGTGCGACTTGGTGTTTGAATAAAGTGGTTGAAAATGCTTGGATTTAGTTAAGGTGCAAGAAGCCTGACTTAATATCCAAAAACATTAAGAGAAATGAATTTGATGTAGGGCTGCACAATATATCGCAATTATATCGTTATCGTGATATCAGCATGTGCAATATGCATATCGCAAAGAACGGATAACTATCGCAATGAATGGTCAGCTCAAATGTTTGCTACACATAATGCATTCTGTCAATAAAACAGAAGCATGATTTTTTTTATTTCATCAAATCAAATAGAGCTCTTCACCCATTTGGCCAATTGGGTTGGTTCTCATAGGTTATGTATGTATGCCTGCACCCGAGGCAGACGGCACTTATTTTTCATGGTTAGCAAACACCTGTTAGCTTTGTTCTGCTCTTTCTGCTGATTCTGCTTTTCCCGGGATCCTCTGATTGCCTTTCCTCACATCTTTTGCTTTTCTAATTTTTATGATTTTTTTGGGTCATTTTTTGATTTCTTTGTTTTTGATCATTTTTGCTCGTGAGTTAAGTTTTTATTTATCACAAGTAATATCATCAAAACAATTTGAATCACTGTTATCGCATATCGCAGGTTTTCCTAATATCATGCAGCCCTAGTTTGATGTCTGGGGTATGCAATGTTAGATTTTTAATAATTGTGGTTCACTATAAACCCATTTTTTAAAATTATTTCTGATTATAATCAGAGTTTTGCATGCAGGCTGAACATGAAAATAGTCTCACACCTATCTCCTGCATTAGCTTCTGAAAGAAAATAGAAATGGTGAAACTCTAGGATTTGAAAATCCTGACAGATCTACGTCACACTGTCACTTAACAATCATGGACTCACCCATCTTGATTCACAAGGGAAAGGCTGGTGTTTGTTTAGCATTTAACTCATTCACCGTCAGCCGTTTCCTGATCAGAAAAACACTTCACTGCCAGCGTTTTTCAGCATTTTCACAGTTTTTTTTAAGAATCACAGAACGTTGTACGCTAGGATGATGCCAACGCCAAAACTAACAAAACAAAGAGTAGACTTTCCTCATACATCAGGAAGAATCCGTGTGTTTCGACCATTATCCGTTCTTTTACAATCCGTGGTCGAATTATGATCGGCAGAAGCTTTTCCGGTTCACGCCTCACCTTTATTTACAGCAGCGGCCCGAAACGATCTCCTAACACATGGATTTTCTGCTTCCTGATAATGTGACGTGTGATGTACGCGGATGAAGATCGGCTTCAGAACTGGTATGTTTGTTCTCACGATGCGACTAAGGTCGTCACTGGCAGTGAACGGTTGGATTTAAAATGATAACTTTTGTCGTCAATGGGTAAATGAGTTAAGAATCAGGAAGGAATGTCCCTACTAGTTTAAGCTAAAAGTTAGCATTAGCAGCTTCACCACACGGCAGAAGCTCTTTCTGGCTTGTGTTATTTGTGTAGATAAAACTTCATTGAGTGTGTTTACATGCAGCCAGTAACCCTTTTAAAACCTGAATATTCACAATAACCCGGTTCCGCAGGTCCATGTAAACACTGCCAAAAACCTGGATATACTCATAACCGGGTTTTTAAAAACCCGGTTACTACAACTGGGGTAACCCTTTTCTAACCCGAATGTTTGGTCGTGTAAACGCATATCGGGATATCCCCATCAAAGCGTGTGTTCTGTGCATGCTCTGTTCGCAAGGAATCTTGGTCTTTTGAGTAGCGAGACGTCTTGTATGCACCAGAACACCGGAAGTAAACAGCAAGTTGGGAGCAACATGGCGAGTCGCGGCACAGCACCACACTTTTGGAGTGACGAGGAAACTAAAGCGCAAACAAACGCGGTCGCTATCTCTTCCGAACTGGGAAACATGTTGTTGTTTTCACGGATACCGGAACAAGAAGAACCGGAAATGACGCATATTGCGTCTGGACGTAGTCCATACGTCCTGACGCTACCCCAACGCCCGCATTTAAATTGGGTTATGCAAGTTAGGGGTAACTCTTTCTATTTATGCTTGTAAACGGGTTATTCTGATCAACTCAGAAACCCGAATACAGACCTTAACCCGATCATAACCCGGATATTGGCTGCATGTAAACGTAGTCAGTGTTGCAAACTGAGTTAGTGGTAGAATTGTGTTGCTGTTATCCAATCCGAGGCATGATGTCCAAATATCAGAAGTAAGACTCCAAAACCTGCTGTCTGGAGCTCAGCTGTGATGTGGGTAACTGCTAGTTATGGAAAATAGTGCACCAGTATACTTGTCTGTTTGTTTCGGTGCAGGGACACGCAACTCCATTATGCATTGGTGCAAGGGCTCTCTGACAGGCTCACGGATGACGGAGACAGCCAAGCTTGTGAATGGTCAGGACACCGTTTCCTGTAAATTTGTCAACAGCACCACCATTGCCTCGTCATAAAGTCTCTGAAATATATAAACACATTAGCAAATACACTATCATGGACCAAATACATGAGTGTAATGGTGGCATGATGCCACAGAAAAGGCCTATGCTCTTTGCTGTCCTGGTGGGGAATTGCTTTACAACGTTCCATGAGCAAAATGTCTCTGTGCGTGTGTGTGTCTCGCCCTTGCGGAGCTGAAGAAGTCTAAATCAGGCTTTACAAAGCATTCAGTTGTAGAGACCATTGCAAATGTATTGATTAACCAACTGTTCCTCACCTTTAACAACATGTAGCCTGCCAGATTTGCACCGGCATTGATTGTTTGAAAGTAAAAGTATTGATGCAAATGTTACATAAAACCAGATCACATCTAAACTGGAGAGTACAAAAATCTCTGCCTTGAGGATGTTCAACACACACACACACACACACACACACACACACACACACACACACACACACACACACACACATACACACACACACACACACACGCACGCACGCACGCACACACACACACACACACACATTTGTCTTTCTATCATAGTGAGGACCCTCCATTGACTCTCATTCAAGTTTATGAATCCACTATGCCTAACCCTAACCATAACCAATGCTGATCTATTCCTAACCCTAACCTTTACTAAAACTTAATTCACAACATACCTCCTAAACCAACTGGTAAGCTTCTAAAACAAGTGAGGACCAGAAAAATGTCCTCACATTGAAAAATGTCCTCACATTGTAGGGAAAATTGTCAAAATGGTCCTCAGTGTAGTAAGTACAAGAACACACACACACACACACACACACACACACACACACACACACACACACACACACGTTATCTCCTCACCGCATTGTGTTTCTGTTATAAACATGTCTTGAGAAACTGGATGGGTGTTGGCTGAATTTAAATGCTTTGCTGAAAAGTACTTCTAAGAATCAATCATGTCTGGTCGCATGTTAGTTTCAGTGCTCTCTAAATAAAATAATAATCTTTGTTAAAAAAAATTGTGATTCATTTTACTTTTTATTCTGCTTATCACAGTGGAATTCTGGTGGGAAATAAGGTGTGAGGTATGAGTATTAAATGATAAATGACCTGCACATTAACCAGCCAGTCACGTCTGAATGTTTATCAATATTTTACAATTGGACAAAGGAAAAAAATCCCACCTGCTCAGAAACGGATCATTTGCACTGATAAGGCAAAGATGTTCTTTTACACATAAGCTGAGTTTATGGGGAAACGGTCAAAAAGGTCACTGGGAAGATAAGATAGATGCGGTCAGAACAAAGCACACTTTTTCTCTCAGTAAGATAAGAAGTAACAAGTACGTACTTACTGAAACAGTGTTTCAGGTCAAGCTTCACGGAATGAATTATGCTCAGTGATTTAATAAAAGATTTGGCTTTACTTGCATCCAAGCCTTGTTAAGGTACCAAAAATACATTTTTCAGTGAGGTTACTGAAATCTGAGACTATCATTTAATTTAAAAATCTACTGCCAGTAAATTTCATCAACATCCAGTCATATCGTGTGATTGTCTTTTAAAATGAATCTTCCATAGTTGTTTAACTACAGCCTGTTTCAGGAGATTTATCACAGCTGCTCAAGAAGAACATGCGACATTGAGTAAAGAAGGCTAGATGCTAACATTGAGCAAAGAAAAGAATGCTAATGGTGAATTAGCATCAAAATTTTCAATTACCAACAACTCAAAATTACAGTGAAATGTATCCATCTACTTATCATTCTACTGTGTATGAGTTGTTTTGTTTGGCATCTAGAATTTTCTGGCGCTGAGCCATAACTGGCAACAGCAATGAAACTCACAGAACGAGAGACAGTCTCGTGTTTGTTCTGAAAATGGACTGCAGTATAGGGAGCCTCTACGTCCGCACCATGGGTCCCCGGAAGAACAAGAAAATTAATGCAAGTCAACGGGGCTAAAAATGTTATTTTCTAATCCGCTTTGCCTTACGACCTGGATCGCATATATGTTGTACTGCAGTTTAAATGAAAAGGAATGATGGGTGTTTCGACCACGCCAGTCACGTACTATGAGATTTATTAGCTTGTAAAAGTTCGTAATTAGCATGACTGCAAACTAGATGTCGACACATCGCATATGTGACGTCACCAAATAATCTCCTTTCCCCATAGTAGCTGCTACTTACCACATGACCAGATTTTTGGTGGTTCTTTCCTCCTGTGGGAAGTTTGCTGTACTTACAGCCCTTTTTCCCTCAGTTTTCTCCATGTCTTGTGTGATGACGTCACTTTTGTGAAGCGCATTTGTAGTCCTGGACTTATTTTCACACAAAACCTAAAATAACATTTCCTCCCATTCTAAAATATACTGTTCTTGGTATCAAAATGTGTCTTTAAAATTCACGGACATCATATGTGACATCCATGGCACAAAACAAGTGGTATTAGAAAATAGCGTTTTTAGCCACGTTGACTTGCATTAATTTTTTCGTTCTTCCGGGGACCCATAGTCTGGAAGTAGGTGGGCGTGACTTAGGCTCCCTATACACATTTGACCGCATTCTTACTTCATCCTTACCTTTAAATTTTGGCATCTGCATGTTGTTGGCATTTGTTCATAATATGTCATCAGCAGAATTTAAGGAAACAAGGTTGTCATGGTGATTTCCTTTGTATCACTGAAATTTCACCAAAGATCAAAGGACAAAAGCTGCTCAAGCACCACAGGCATGTTGTATTTTGGCAAAAGAAGTACAATATGCAAACTAAAGAATGTAATTTGGTGGGTGGTCTATTACTCCACTGCAAACACTTTTCCATCCTGTTTCCCTTGCTCTGGTAAAAACCATTGACCCACCCCAGTCTATTCTGGCCCTATACCTTTCAACAGATGTACAGAATTTGTCCCAAGAATTAAAACTTTCAAGTAAACAAATATAATCCTAGATACTAATTACATAATTTCAAATTATTTTAAGTGGATAATGATAATGATTACCATGTAGTAATAGCTGACAGAGTAATCTCATTTGAGATGTTGCAATATTGCATGAGATCATAAGGATTTTCGAAACGTTTTACCAAAATGGCTAGAACGGTGGCGAATTAAATGCATTTTTTAAAAGAACAGTTAGTTTTCAGGTGCATCTGTGATCTTTTTTGTTTTTAATACAAATCACTTCTCCTCTTGTCTCTGAGCGTCAACATAATTTTTATTTTCAGGTCCAACTTGGGGCTCTTGCTCTGTTGGAGTGTTCATCTGTCTGGATTGCTCTGGGATCCACCGAAATATCCCAGAAATCAGCAAAGTCAAGTCCCTGAGACTGTCTCACTGGGAGGACCATGAAATACAGGTGAGAGTCCAGAGATGATGACTCCCGAGCTAGCTGCATAGGTTCCCTCAGTGCATTTCAATGAGGCTCATGGTGGATTATTTTGTGATTTGTTTCTTTATAACATTGTTTGCAAAAGTCTAATAAAACTGAATAAGAACAGAGTTGTTTTTATCCTTCACTGAAGCATTGCATGGAGAGGTTTTAAAGCAGTTTTTGAAATGTATTTTATTTAAATGTTAAAGTGTCACATTCATTATTTAAAGGTTTTCTTTACACATTTTTATTTTCCAGTTTTAGCTCAGGATTTGAAGATTAAGGAATTTTGTTTCACTGATTAGGCATCTTCTGTGATTAATACAGTGTGTGTGTGTGTGTGTGTGTGTGTGTGTGTGTGTGTGTGTGTGTGTGTGTGTGTGTGTGTGTTTGTTTTAGTTCATGGCAGAGAACGGTAACGAGCTCATGAAGCAGAAATATGAGGCTGCTGTTCCTATCTACTACTACAAACCAACGTTCAAAGACTGCCAGTGAGTAACAGCAAAACACTGCTCTTGTGTGTGTTTTCGTTTTCATTATCAGCTTCGGTGAGTGTTAGCATAGTTTTGAACAGTATTTATTGGCTCAAATAGTTTAAAGGAACATTCCCGGGAAGGCTAGATTACAGACAGTGAAGGAGCCATCTATTATTTTACAAATTGGCACCCGTGGAGACTAATTTTTAAAATCCAATAGAAACTATTCTAAACCAATCTGCTGTGGCAGAGCTGATTTAGTCAGATTATACTTCCAAAGTGCTTCATGTTGAATTAAGACTTGTAAGATATTCTGACAACTTTTTTGTTCTTGCTGCCTGGTATATTTGCTCAAGCTGTAGAGGGTGTGTCTGGAAAGTTCTGGTCATTCTTTAGAATCCTTTGCTACAAAACTAATATGAGCACAGAAGCACTACTACTAGAGCAGGAATCTTTGGGGAGATAACTCATCAGGCTGCGGTCGAGTTATATGATTACTAACAACCCGTTTGTGACTACTTGGTGAATGTTACTGCCAAAAGTACTGGGACTTCTCACCAGATCAATGCATTTAGGTTTTCTGGGTGAGCAAGTCTGTCGAGTCCTGACGTTTACCTGATGAACACCTTTGGGATGAATGGGAGTGGAGACTGAGAGCCAAGCTTTCTCTTCTAAAGTCAGTTCCTAAATTCACAAATGCACATCAGACAAATTACTCTTAAATTTTGTGGAAAGCCTTCCAAAAGAGTCAAAGCTGTTCTAGCTGCAAAGGGTGAACAAACTCCTTATAAACCACACTGATTATAAGTACATTAAACCTGTAGAGAGGCAAGTGAAACCATTTCAAGGCAGAAATTCACCTGCAGTCTAAAGGAAAGAGTCTTAATATAATTTTCATTCAGTTTAATGATAATTTATTTAGAGCTGAGTTACAATATGGTTCCAATGATAAACTTGAGTTACATGACGGTGTAATTAGTTGCACTGTTGCAGTAAGAAAGTTGCAGGTACAAATCCCAGCTGTAGCCATTCCGCATAGAACTAGCATGTTAGTTAGTCTGTTGCATATAGAGAGACTTAAACACATAAACATATTAAAGGTTAGTACATGCAGACAGCACAAACTTCCAAAATTCTCATACAGTGTTATTGTTTTTGCCCAGGGTCCTGAAGGAGCAGTGGATTAGAGCCAAGTATGAGAGGAAAGAGTTTTTTGAGTCTTGGAAAAGCTTTACCTATGAAGCAGGTGAGTATACTGATGCAAACACACCTGTTTTCCATCAAAAACATCAACACAAATGTTTTTGTGTGTGTGTCTGCTTCCTTTAGGGGTCAGAGACGGTATGTTGATGAAAAGGGGGCGGGACAATGGACAGTTTCTGAACAGACGATTTATCCTTTCAGAGAGAGATGGAACTCTGAAATATTTCACCAAATATGATGTAAGCAGCTATTTATTATACAAACTCCTTGCAGAAAGACCCCAGGTCGGGATTCACTAACACCACCAAGACCTAGCCAGGATGTGAACCCAGGACCTTCTTGCTGCAAGGCAACAATGCTAAACACTGCGACACCGTGCAGCCTTGCTGTTATTAATCATCATCATTAAATTATTGATAACTGCAGTTTAGCCATTTGACTCGACTTCATTATTCTTCTGCTGTTGGATGCTTTTGTTTTTTTAGGCTAAGGAGCCCAAATTAGTGATTAAGGTGGACACCATAAATGCGACATTCCAGCCAGAGAAGATTGGAAACCCCAACGGCCTGCAGATCACCTTCCTAAAGGATTACAGCACTCGGAATATCTTTGTGTATCATGAGAGTGGCAAGGTGTGTGCATGCATGTGTGTGTGTGTGTGTGTGTGTGTGAGAACCTGACTTAACAATGTTAGGGGCAGCAGTAGCTCAGGAGGTAGAGCGGGTTGTCCAGGAATCAGAAGGTTGCTAGTTCAATCCTGACTGCCACCAGAAAATGCTGCTGTTGTGTCCTTGGGGAAGACACTTAACCCACCTTGCCTGCTGGTGGTGATCGGAGGGACCTGTGACGTTTGGCAGCCCCGTCTCTATCAGTGTACCCCAGGGCAGCTGTGGCTACATTGTAGCTCATCATCACCATTTGATGTGAATGGGTGAATGACTGATTGAGCTGTGAAGCACCTTGGGGGGTTGCAGAACCTTCTATGAGTTATAACTTGTAAGTTAGACCCACGAGCTGAGCTCGTGGGTCAGCAATTAGGTTATTCAGAAATGTTTTATTAATTCTCAAATATATGATGAATATTTTGTGTTGACTGTTCTTAACTTTGCACATTTTAGGAAATAGTAGACTGGTTTAATTCGATCCGGGCTGTTCAGCTTCACTACCTCAAGGTGGCCTTTCCTGGTGCAACTGATGCAGAGGTAAACACAAACAGACACACCAAAACAGTGTTGTTTAGATTCTCTATTGGGGCTTTGATGTGCAGCTGGAAACTATTCGGTTCTGCCGAGTCATCGACTCCTTGTGATTTGTGCTTCCAGCTGATTCCCAAACTCACTCGGAACTTTCTCAAAGAAGGTTTCATGGAAAAAACTGGTCCCAGGGTGAGTGAATCTGCAAACTAAAATGATTCATGTTCATGTTTGGGATCTTATGGTCAAGCAAAGGCAATGAAAATAAACCATTAAAACGGAATACATTTAAAAACAAGTCTGAAACTCGCCCTTTAATTTCACTTCACCCTCTCTTTTATTTTAAAACAACAATGTTGAAATATTTCTTTTTGTAAACAGTCAGAAAAGCAGTTTTCACCTGTCTGACAGCCTAACTGACAGATCTGTGTACGTACTGTTCCTCCATCTGAGATTCCTACAGTCGGTCGGAATGAAACACTTAATTCCTTTTAAGTCAGTCTGACGGTGTGTTGCAGTCAAACTAAGAATAACATTCAGCCTTCATGGAATGTCCTTTGTTACCCAGCGGCATATTCAGAAGTAACTTTAACCAACCTGAGGCTGCGTAACACACCCTGTTCGGTCGCCACAATTACATTTCCATCAAACTAACAAATGAAAGAGTCACTAACCTGCTCTGCTGGGCTGCTTTTGGGAAATGAGTGCCATTATAAAATTCCTTCTCAAAGCTGGAAGATATTTTTGGAAAAAGTCGAGTTGCAGAAGTTCACAAGAGGCACTTTTACTGCCACATTTCACGTGACAATAAAATTAAACAATAAAATAATAATTACAGCACTGTAAAACAAATTGTTCAATAGTGTTTCCATAACCCGTCGTGGCATTTTTGAGACTAGTTATTTTAAGATGGCAGAAATCTACATGATTTTGACCTCACTATGACTAGCTGTTAGCTCGTTGATCCAATCACAAATAAATGAAAGGATGACTGAATGAAACAAATGAAAGGGGAGCAGAGAGGAAGGTAAAGTGAAGCAACAGGTAAGTGGCAACCTGAAACTGAACAGCGAGACTCGAAACCTAATTGGTCCATGTTTTTGTTACACAGCAAACTGAAGGATACAAGAAGCGCTGGTTCACCCTGGACCACAGACGACTCATGTACTTTAAAGATCCACTGGTACACACACACACACACACACACACACACACACACACACACACACGCACATCAACATGTCATCACTTTTGCGCATTAAGTATGTAGATTTTTTTTTAGTTCTTTGCAAATTACTGTGAGAAGAAAATAGATACGATGGCAAAAGTTTGAATTGTGAGAAATGCAGTAAGATGGAAGTCTAGTTACAGGACGTACAGCACAAGTAGTACAGTAAGATCTCCACTGAGTGTTGAGGAAGTCTTCGACTTGAAGCATCTTTCCGGAGTATTTGTCTTGTCCGATGACACCATCTAGCGGCTGACAAGCATCTCACACAGTCAGTCGATCCGGTTTATTAAGATGGCGACTTCACGTTTCTTGTTTCTGTTGTTGAAGTATTATTCTCATGTCATGTTGTGTTTTCATATATTTATATTATAAACACTTACTGGTCCGTGAAAAGTTCATCAACTCTGCATCAGCCGAGGTATTCCTTAAATTTGAAGCATGGAAAGCTACTTTAAACCCTTAAAGCATGTTGGCGTGTTTCAGCGCTCAGAAACTCCTATAAGTTACAGGTGCTGGCCAGTAAATTAGAATATCATCAAAAGGTTGAAAATATTTCAGTAATTCCATTCAAAACGTGAAACTTGTACATTATATTCATGCAATGCACACAGACCAATGTATTTCCAATGTTCATTACATTTAAATTTGATATTCATAAGTGACAACTAATGAAAACTCCAAATTTGGTATCTCAAAAAATTAGAATATTCTGAAAAGGCTGAATATAGAAGACACCTGCTGCCACTCTAATCAGCTGATTTACTCAAAACACCTGCAAAGGCCTTTAAAAGGTCCCTCAGTCTTGTTTTGAAGGCACCACAATCATGGGGAAGACTTCTGACTTAACAGCTGTCCAAAAGACAATCATTGACACCTTGCACAAGGAGGGCAAGACACAAAAGGTGATTGCTAAAGAAGCTGGCTGTTCGCAGAGCTCTGTGTCCAAGCACATTAACAGACAGGCGAAGGGACGGAAAAAATGTGGTAGAAAAAAGTGTACAAGCTCTAGGGATAACCGCACCCTGCAGAGAATTGTGACGACAAACCCATTCAAAAATGTGGGGGAGATCCACAAAGAGTGGACTGCAGCTGGAGTCAGCGCTTCAAGAACCACCACGAGGAGACTCATGAAAGACATGGGATTCAGGTGTCGCATTCCGTGTGTCAAGCCACTCTTGAACATGAAACAGCGCAAGAAGCGTCTCGCCTGGGCCAAGGACAAAAAGGACTGGACTGATGCTGAGTGGTCCAAAGTTATGTTTTCTGATGAAAGCAAGTTCTGCATTTCCTTTGGAAATCAAGGACCCAGAGTCTGGAGGAAGAGCGGAGAAGCACAGAATCCACGTTGCATGAGGTCCAGTGTAAAGTTTCCACCGTCAGTGATGGTGTGGGGTGCCATGTCATCTGCCGGTGTTGGCCCACTCTGTTTCCTGAGGTCCAGGGTCAATGCAGCCGTCTACCAGGAAGTTTTAGAGCACTTCATGCTTCCTGCTGCTGACCAACTTTATGGGGATGCAGACTTCACCTTTCAACAGGACTTGGCACCTGCACACAGTGCCAAAACCACCAGCACCTGGTTCAAGGACCATGGTATCCCTGTCCTTGATTGGCCAGCAAACTCGCCTGACCTTAACCCCATAGAAAATCTATGGGGTATTGTGAAGCGGAGGATGCAATACGCTAGACCCAACAATGCAGAGGAGCTGAAGACGACTATCAGAGCAACCTGGGCTCTCATAACACCTGAGCAGTGCCACAGACTGATCGAGTCCATGCCACGCCGCATTACTGCAGTTATTGAGGCAAAAGGAGCCCCGACTAAGTATTGAGTGCTATACATGCACATTCTTTTCATGTTCATTCTTTTCAGTTGGCCAACATTAGAGAAACAAACATTTTTTCATTGGCCTTTAGAATATTCTAATTTTCTGAGATACCAGATTTGATGTTTTCATTGGTTGTCACCTATAAATATCAAAATTAAACGTAATAAACATCGGAAATACATTGGTCTGTGTGCATTGCATGAATATAATGTACAAGTTTCACGTTTTGAATGGAATTACTGAAATATTTTCAACCTTTTGATGATATTCTAATTTACTGGCCAGCACCTGTATATCCAGACGTCTTTAGACAAACTGAAGAATGTACCTTTCTTCATACACATTTGAATTGTGTGCAAGTTGAGGATCTTTAACATCCTGAATTAGGAGAAAGGGGTTTGGTATTGCTGAAGTCTTGGCAGCTTGGATCTCTTGAGTATTGCCTAACAACATTTCTGATGTAGCTGATGAAATAAAGGGGTGCAACACGCTAAGTGACTGGAGCTAAGCTGGACATCTCGAACAACTGGACAAGAAAGTTAAATATAAGAAGAAGTTTTGTGTCTGAATTTGTTGACACATTACCTCCAAAATCAAAAATTTGAAAAAGTTCTCTCTTAATCTGCTTTATTTGTATTCCTGTTTGAAGGATGCCTTTGCTAAAGGGGAGGTTTTCCTGGGCAACAAGGACCATGGTTACAGTGTATCTCCTGGCTTTCCCCATGGCACCAGCTGTAACAGCTCTTGGCAGTACGGCATCACGATAACAACACCTGAACGCAACTTCCTGTTTACATGTGAGACAGAGAGTGACCAGCTCGACTGGCTGAAACACTTCAACAATGTCATGAGTGCGCCGATGTCCCCCCAAGAGTACACGAGTAAGAACATGCTCTCATTCAGACATTTCATTGGTTACATTCAACAGATGTATTGCTTTATGGCACTCCAACTCTTTTCATCATTTAAAATAATCAAACATAGCTAAAGCCTTTTCTGGTTATATTTAAATGCTTTTATTTAAATTATATATTTTATGTTATATCATTCAGTAGCACAGCTGTAACATCATTTTCCTGTTTCCCTTTATCTCCTAGTGGAAGCCACGTTTAGGCACAAACACTGACGGATCAAAACCCGACTGGACCGTTTTTCACCTCTTTGCCGGGGACCGCTCTGATGGAAACCTTCATCGTTTCTGACCTGAAATCTCATCCTCATCACTGATGCTTAAAGTCATGCTCATCAAGTTCAGAATGAAAGCAGGATCACCAAATCCTAATCAGTTACACTACGGTTTATGAGAAAAGTTTTTGTTTGTTTGCACATTGCAGTTTTATTTTTTTATCAAGATTCTTTGAAAGTCTCTCGATGTTGTTGTTTTTCTCCCTCTCTATATCATCTGCTGATCACAGTAAACACTATTTCCTATGTGCAAGAGACTTTTTATAGAATATAAATGCATAATACACTTTTTTTCTTCATTAAAACCTTGCTTCTCTTGTGCCAATCTTCTCTGTAGAGATCAAAATTGTATTTTGGGAAATTACTAATGTTTTAAGACCAATAGCACCACAAGTTGCATACTTGTTTCACATTAGGCTTTTTTTTTGTTCATTATATTCTATGAAAACACTAACTGATGTGTTTAAATTTACTTTTTTAAAGGGACTTTACGGACTTTTGAATTTTTACAGTCACAGTAGCTGTAACTTTTATATCCTTGATGACACCTGAAACAACGTCAAACCAAAGAACAGTTCGAAGCGAAAATGGCTATTTTGTTGCTAATTTGCAGGAAATATCTAGAAGAAAGTTCTACAGAAAGTAGCTAAGGGTCCTCAGAAATGTAGCTAGGTTTGTCACTAGGCGTTAGGAACCGCGACAAAGTCGCTGAGTTGGCACTACCTCTCTCTGCTGCTAAAGCTACGGATAGCAAATGCTACGGGCGATGCCTGAGCGTGAACGCGCATGAAGCAGCCTGCTCAACCCGAGCATCTCTCTTTTTCTGTGATTTTACAGAAAAACAGGCAATCACAGTAAAAATGCCAGGGCTCATTCTACAGGACCAGGGCATTGCAGGAGAACGTATGAAGAAGACATTTATTATTTCTATACATGTTTTGGCTGTCAAACTTCCATAATGTCCCTTTAAGATACAATTTTGTAGTTTTCTTAAAAATGTATTGCAAAAACTGGTCATTGGCTGATGGCTCGACAGCTCCTCCATGTGGTGCAGAGTATTTTGAAGAGGAATGTTCACTTCCATGTTTTACAAGTTTGAAATTACCTGTTTTACAATAAGTTACAAATGATTCAAATTATCTGACAAGCACAAATAAAGGGTTTTATGAAGGGGTGCACCGATCTATCAGCCCCGATCTTGTTTTTGTTCAAAATCGGTGATCGGCCAAAAACAGCAATCGGTGCACCCACCCCAGTTAATGTTGAAGCAAATCATTGCTTTAGAATAATTTTTGAGGAGAAATGTGCCAACACAGGTACAAAAGTTTTGTTTTCAAAATTAGAAAAATGAAAGTCTAAAGGAACAAATAAGATTTTGTAGTTCAAACAGCAATGCTGAATACGGTCATTTATATTTGAGAACATTACCCCATGTCCAGTTGAAACTGGAATTGTTTCATGACTATTCACATTGGTTTTCTCAATAAAAGGAAATTGAAACATCGACGTAATCTGCTTTTAGTTAAGACAAAATCGGTATCGGCAAGTCAGGTTTTTTTTCAGATCAGTGATTGGTGATCGGCCAAAAACTGCAATTGGTGCATCCCTAGTTCTTTGACCATTGCTTGGATGTGTGCACAGGTGAACCTCTGTTGAACCCATAAGGCTGGTTTGAATGAAACACTTACAAAGCAACCTTTAAAGGTGTGGAACACTTAAAACCCATTTTATAATGATTATTTCTGATTATTATTGGTCACTCTTGAGTTTTTCACTTCACATTCATGGACTCACCAGGCTTTGCTTTTGATGGGGAAGTTTGTTGTTGGTTTACCATTCAGGAAACAGCAGCAAATGCCTTGACTAGTAGAAGCTAACAATAAGCATTAGCAACTTCACCACACAACAGAAGCTCTTCCAGGCTTGAGTTATTTGTGGAGATCAAACGTTGCAGGTAAGTAGTAGAGTTGTGTTGCTGTTATCCAATTCAAACAAGGTGTCAATATCAGGAAATACGACTACAAAAATCTGCCATATTAAGCTCAAATGCGATGTGGGAAACTTTTAGTTCCTGGAAAAGGTGCACCAGTATAACCCCCCCCCCCCCCCCCCCCCCCCAGCACAACTTACAAGTCATTCATTCCTACTTGAGACCATTGCTAATGTATTGATTGAACGAGTGTCCTACACCTTTAAATAAAGTAAAAGTCCCATTAGTTGTCACACACACTGATGGGTGGGCTTGTTCTGGCTCAGGGGGTGAGCCGACCTGGCGTGGTTGCCCTGTGTGTTGGTGTGTTTCCATAGGGTTAATGGGTTGCCTCGCTCTTGGCTGTCTTGCATCAGTGGCAGCGATAGTGTGCTGGGCTGAGGGCTCCAGGCATAGTGGCTCCAAGTGGGTTCCCTTTGTCTGGTGTCCTGTCATTCTCTGGCTGGATCACCTACTTCTTAGGGTTTTACAACCCCCCAAGGTGCTTCACAACCCAATCAGTCTCCCGCACTGGATGATGAGCTACAATGTCTCTACAGCTGCCTTGGGGCGCACTGTTGGAAACGAGACTGCCAAACACTGGCACCACCGGTCCTTCCAACTACCACCGGCAGACAAGGTGGGTTAAGGCTGTGTCTCAATTCAGGCTCTGCATCCTACGTCGGCCGGATTCGTCACAGCGCCGCGACTAGGCCTGTCCCAATTCGAAGACTCCTTCAAATGCGGTCGACGAATGCGGCCTTCTTTTCGCCTGAATGAAGGATGGGTCTGGTGTATCCTTCAATAGGTAGCATTTCCCAAGATGCCTTGCGGGCCGGCCTGCAGACAAACTTAAAAACAATGGCGGACAGCGAAGCGGGAGCTGTCGGAGAGGACTGCGCATATAAATGTCAGTATAAACTTGAAAACTGTCAGTTTAAGGACTTTTTGTGATACATGAACGTTATTTTAGTTAGAAATGTTACAGTAAAAGTGCTTGTATTGCGGTCTCGGCTCGTATGTTCGGCCGCGCTCGGTGTCGTACTTCTCCCGCTACGTTTTCCCCCTGATTTTAATAGAAGTTTGTATTTTAGGGACAAAAGAGAAAACCAGGGAATTTATTAAGCTTAGGGCGGAGATGGACCACATGATCACTGGAGCAAAGTATTCGGCGGCTGTGGCATGGAGGTACAATAACATCTCATATTTTAAAAACTGGTTTCAGTATTTTTTTTTTCTGCGAAAACATGAAAGCAATAACCCGTTGTCCTCTTTTCTCTTCCTGTTTCTTTTCTTACATGTTTGTTACGACTATTCTGGAGAAAATGGGCATCCAGGGGAAGGTGCCAGCGATGACCAGCTTCTGGAGCTGATCAGGGAGGACTTGAGGCTGCAGAGGGAGGCAGAGCAGCAGAGGGCCCAGGAGAGAAGGGAGAACTTTGACAGCTTTTTACTTTGCTAGAAAAAATGGTTAAGGAAGATTAAACATGTACATATAAAAGAAATATCTAAATAAAATCAGTTCTGCATTAAACTGTTGAATTTTATTTTTGTTTACAAATGATAATTGTTTACTAGAGGGTATCCGCTGGGTCTTAAAGTCTTAAAAGGTGATAAATTGGTTTTGGTCAAATTAAGACCCTTAGAAAGTATTAAAAACTATTATCACATCTTTGCTCAGGCTCAGCTTGTCGAAAGTATTTTCTCTGAATTAGCTCTCCAACAGTCAAGGAAATGATTAAAAAGCTAAATAAAACTTCGAGCTCCATCGTTTAAAGTTCCTTCTCCCTTCTGCTCAGCGGTTGCTAGGCGACGGAATGTTCGCCGAGGGAGAGGCGGGAATTCATGAAGGCTAGGCCTGTCCAAATTCACAGCTGTTAACATCCGGTCTACCCGGCCGACGGAGGACCCAGCCCATGTCGGCCGAGTAGGCTGGGTCCTTCGAAGGATGCAGACCCTGAATTGAGACACAGCCTGAGTGTCTTGCCCAAGGACACAACAACAGAATTCTCTGGCAGGAGCCGGGATCAAACCTACAACCTTCCAATTACTGGACAACCCGCTCTCCCTGAGCTACTGCTGATATTGATTACAATGGGTTTTATTTGCATAAATATGTTTGAGAACAGCATTCATAATTACATAATAAGCACTGAAAGGGAATATACTGAGCTAAGCTTTACAATGATGAGATTATGACAGGAAATAACTTTATTACTTCCTTTCCAACAAGTGCCTCACATTGTCGGATCACCTAAAATGTCCGATGCCCTTTGCGTTTGTTTGGTGGTAACTGAAACTTCACCTCAGTGTTTGGTGACAGTTTAAAGTCTGCGAGCATCACCACATAAATCCATAGACCCATGCTAGTTTTGCACTTTGGTGAGAAAGATGGAGGACAGTTGTGAAGAGAGAAGGGGGGGTGGGGGGGTTCTATAAAAAATCTTCAAAGGCAGCTCTACCTCGTCAGAGTTGGAGTAGAGGAGCAACTGATGGTTCATCTGCTACCATGTGAAACCAAAGATATGCAGGAAGAGCTGCCAGTAGTCGCTGAGGATGATTTGGACTAAGTGGATTTAAACTTGAAGCCTCAAACACGTTGTGAGAAATTGAGTGGAAAACAGGATACGTTACAAGTTGGATGTATCACTTTGTGCCGTGAGGACAAGATGATTTCATGTGGGAGTTAATCAAAACAAAATGTAATGTAGGATTCCCAAAATGTCAGTCACTCGCATCCCGATGTGCTCTATCCCGCGCTGCAGGAGCTTTGCTACCAGCAACTTTAAGAAGTGTTTTTCCAAGTTTGAAAAGAAACTTTTCACACAACTCCAGAGATCAACAGGGACTTTTGCAGTGTGAGAGAATTCCCCATTTCTGGGTTGCCTTCATGATTGGGAATCTTGTCTGTTTTATGAAACCATGGTCATGTAGAGGATTTTTTGGACCCAAACGCCAAAAACAATAAAAGCTGCTAGTCATGTAAGTAACTTTTTTTTTCACTTTATAAACATTAATGTCTGTTGTCCCCAACATTTATTTATTATTCCCTTTTTTTTTTTTTTTGGTAGGTTAAACAATCTTCAACAAACCTTGTCAGCTTTCAAGACATGTTTGTTTTCTGCCTGTATCACTCAAAAGATCATCCTACAGTCTTTGAAACCTTTTCGGAGCCCAACTGTCTAAGAACTGAAGCACCTGTCCTCTAACCATAACCTGCAATGAACTCTACTTCTAACGCCACAATCACCTCCCAGCTGGGACTTGGCCTAAGTCCAGGGATTGATGCTGGTGCTCCCCAAAGTGGCGGTGGTGGTGGAGGTCTTTGGGTGACATCCCTGCTCGGTGCTACACTTTTGATCATGTGCACCTTGGGGGTGGCAGGAAACACTTACACGCTCGTCATCACTCGCTCGGCTGCTCTGTGCAGGACTGGTTCCATGTATGTTTATATTGTCAACTTGGCTCTGGCTGACCTGCTCTACCTCTCCACCATCCCCTTTGTCGTCTGCACCTACTTTGCCCATGACTGGTTGTTCGGGGAGGCAGGTTGCCGTATCTTACTGAGCCTGGATCTCCTCACCATGCATGCCAGTGTCTTCATCTTGGTTGCCATGAGCCTGGAGCGTTACCGTGCCGTGGCCAAGCCCTTCAGCGCTCACAAATCCTCAACCCAAAACCGAAGATTTGCGGCTGGATTTATTTGGGCGTTGGCTTTCTTCCTGACACTTCCGATGATGGTGATGATCCGGCTCAGGGAGGGAAAGCCTACAATGGCTGGGTTGGTCAAAAGAATCTGCTTCCCTACCTGGACGCCAGAGGCCTTCAAGGCTTACATCACCGTACTGTTTTTCACAAGCGTTTTAGTCCCGGGATTGATAATTGTTGGACTGTATGCTGGACTAGCCACTCGTTACTGGACAGTGCAGGCCAGCTTAGGAGGCAGCAGCCGCTCAGCCCGGAGAAGGGGACTCAAACAAAAAGTTTTATCAATGATCTTAAGCATTGTGGTAGCATACTGGGCTTGTTTTTTACCTTTTTGGGGATGGCAGCTCACTAAACTGTTCTCTCCAGACTCCCTCAGAGCTTTGTCTCCAGCTGCCCATAATTATGTGAATTTCTTTGTCACCTGTCTGACCTACGGAAACAGCTGCATCAACCCGTTTCTCTATACTCTGCTTACCCGAAACTATAAAGATTACTTAGCCCAGAAATCTGCGGGGTCCAGCAGGGCTGATCCTGGATCAGTTGTATCAACTCCATTACAGGATATTTAAAGGCTGTTTTCTCAATCTTGTCAAATTTGATGGAGTCTTTGATTATTTAAAGCTGTTATAATGAATCTATAGATAAAGCTAACACAGCCACGGAACACTAACCCTCGGTACCTTCCCTGAGACGCTTCTGCTGGAACTGGAAACCTGCGATGCCAGACAAAACGAGATAGCGCTAAACACCAGTCAAACTTCTTTTGTTGTCTGTGACTTCGAATGGTGTTTTTCTTTTTGGGACTCTGGGACTAAAGTTGAAGTGGTAGCAGCCGGTTGTTTCTCCTTCTCTGATATTACTAAGTGGAGAACCTCTCACACCAGTGGTGTTCTGTTGCTAAATACATGGGTGTGTGATGAGTGCCGAACCCAGGCAAGTGCAAAAGTGCTGTGGTTCAGTGAGATCAACAACCGGATGGTCCAATGGTTGCTTTTGGTCCAAAATGTGTTATTGGTGGAGGTTTTTAGACAAATGCGAGAGATCCACTTTATTAGTTTTTGTTTTGTTTTTATAATCTCCACAATATATTTCAAGCTATACTATATTAGAATGCCATTAAGAGGCATAAAAAAATGTTTGAAGCAAATTTGTTTTCCAAATTTGGTATAACAGTTTTAACATCAAAACCTAACTTTTTTCTTTTTATTAACCTTTGTGCATTAATGCACTCCAGCAGGTTACTTCCTATTGTTCCTGGGAATGTGGTTGCATTGTGTCACATTCCTCAGCTTTGGTACAGAGCTCTTTGGAGTCCTGCTGTAAATTGCCTCTTCTTCTTCTCACATCTGCTGAGTTCTGTTCATTTTCTTTTCCCGTTATCCAGTTTTACACTCATCTGCGTGCATTCTCTCCACATCAGAACTACTGATGACTTGATTCTTTATCCTAATATTCCTATTTTGTCTCTTTTTTAATGTAACTTGTTGCAGTTACCTGTTTTGAAAAATCTTTGAGACATTTAAGTTTCTAATGGCTTTATAGGCATCATGCATAGTTTGAAAGAAGAAACATAGAGACACACTTGTCTTTACTTCAGTTTTTATTAAGGCGCCCAGTTACTGACAAGCTGCAAGACAAAAGGCAACGATGTAACATGTACTTTGGCTCCATCTTAAGGCCTTTAACTCTTATTACAACCAGAGTACTATGTTGGTTTGTGACATGACTAATCAAACCTGGGCTCAGAAACGGCTGAAACAAGAACAGGTTGTTCTGTTCAAGGGTCAGAGAAGGGGTTGGCCTCTACTTGATCTTGATCCCAACGATCCTGGCGTCCCCGCTCACATCAAAGTACTGGTACTTGACATCGCCCAGGCGGTTGGGGAAGCTTATCATGTTGCCATCAGGAAGTCTGATGTAAAAATGATCGCTGCTTAAGGTGATGTAAAACTGAAGTGGAAAGAAGAGAGGAACCACATTTGTCAGTCAGGTTGTTTCTTTATGATCCCATGTTCTGCATCTTTACTATTCATTAATCAAACAATAAATCCCACCAACAGTGTTCTCATCAGAGGAGGAAGTTTGAATCCCTTGTTGTTCAAACTATAACTTCACTAGTAAAAGTTTCCCCTAGAATGAAGTATGTGCAATTTTTACATGCTAGAGTTTGACGTATGTAATTTGCAAGACTAAGGGCTGAAATTCTGCACATTTTAGATCACATTGAAGATTTTAAAGCTTGCTGATACTGCCAAACACACCTTGCTTTCTTCTCCACGTGAAAAAGGCAAGAATCCCTCTCGATGCTCTTCACCCCAGCTTCCTCCAGATAAGTGGTTGCATACAATGGAGTTGGAGTCGAAGCGAGGGTTGAAGTGCAGCGCTATGTTCTCAGGGTTGTGTCCAATGTTGATTGCAAAGCTGCGTCGAAGGCCAAAGCAGAGGTCAGAAGGATGTAAAAAAAGGAAAAAGGTTAGAAAACTTGGAACTTTGAGGCAGTACTTTGTCTTGTTTAAAGGTAAACATACATCTGCAGGTTTAAGCTTGGGTGAAGCGTACCTGTTGCATCCACTATTGGGCCTGACTCGGACCTTGAACTCCTGCCCCTCCCTGAATGTCATGCTGTTGACTTGCTGTGAATAGAATTCAGAGAAGAAAATAAGAGCTCATGGATAAAATGTATTTTTGAATCTTTTTTTTATTAGCATCCTCAAATCTATGCAAAATATGTGGATTCATGGATCAGTTTTTTTTATCAGCTTCAGCCAGATGATATCAGTTTGGAACATATCAGAAGGAGAATTTGTGAGTCACTTCTGTAAACTGAGGCTTTGTAATGATGGATGACGGTTCCTGGACCTATCTCAGCTGTTGATGATCAACCAGAATAAAACAACAAACATGAGGCTGTAAAATTGCCTGAAACAGGAAGGTGCTGTATTTGTTCATTGACATGTGACCATTATATAGATGCAGTAAAAACATAAAAAGAAGCTCACACGCAATATGTTTAATAGTTGATTTAATAATACCATATGCTTTTTTCTAAAATAAATGAATGGGTCAATGCAAACATTTGTACTTCATGAACTGATCTCATCTGAACAACGATTTCCCCCGAATTCTGTGAAACTGTTCCACAAGGATCAATAAAGCAATAAAGCCCTTACACATCTGTCCCTGTTTCATCTGGTATCACAGTCAAACATGAACTTCAACATTCTGGGGCCCATATCTGCACCACACCTAGACTTACCTGAGGTTTTACAGCCCCCTATGCCAGATTACTTTAGGTTGATCATTTACTTTACAGAGATAGAGCAAAAGAATATTTAGCATGAGTTATATTTTATAAATCCTAGTAGGGATCTGTGTCGTTCATAGCTTTAGGAATCACATGCAAAGATCATCACCTGCTCTATGGTCCCTGGCCACTAATTGGATCATATTGTTGTAAAAGAGTTTCATTATATTGCAGCAACGAATGAACCAGTGGACTTTAAACTGCATAGTGATGAACTAACAATTCATTTACTTTGATTTACACTTGATTTTTGTCCACACGTGTTCTTTGAATGGAAGGTATTCAAATATTCTGAGTTAATAGGAAATGCTATAAGAAAATGAATAGGAAAAAAAAGCAAAAAAAAAAAAAAAAAAAAAGAAACCAGATTTGTTTTCCTCATCCCGTTTTAGATCTATGATCCATCACCACGTGTACAAAAGATCAGTGTTCGACACGGTCCTGTTCCGTCTCGGTGAACCTTTACAATAACATGCAAATATTCCTTTTTTTAATCAGAAAATTAAACTCCTATAAAGGAACATATTTCTTGTTACGAAAAACATTTTACCGTGTAGAATTAAGAGAAAATAGTTTACCTTGTTAGGATTATAATAGTTTGAGCCATAAAAATAATTTGTAGATATGTATAAACGAGATCAAAGATATTGTATCACTAAAGCTGTTTTACACAACTTACCATCTTGGATGTCTTCGGTGGGTTGTGCCTCAAGTGAAAAAGATCTGCATGCAGGTGAGCACTTTTATACCTGTGGTGAGGTGGGGAGACAGAGACAGGAAGCAAACAGTAGGAAGTCGTCATTTATGGTACATTTTATTGCTAGTGAGAAAAACTACTTCAGTACAATTCTGCGTTATAGTTTTGATGTTTTGTAAATGTATACAAATGCAGTTTTTCTTGATTTAATATGTTCATCAGTAAGAAAGACAAACAAAAATGTACACAGCAGATAGATATATAGGCCACAATGTAGTTGTGTGGTTATTTCTAGTAGAAATAAACAAAAAATAAGTGAACATAAACATGTACTGTTTATGTTTAAAATAGAACTTCGGAAGCCAACTTGTACAATTTGAACTTTCTAGACAATCAAAGTTCGTTTTCACTTTCATACAGGGAGTTTTTGGATTCCAATACTTGGAGTGTATTGGCAATTTTCTTTTGTTGATAAATGTTTCCTAAAATTTCCAATTAATTGTCAAGCCTTTAAAAAAACTAATTTAAAAGTGCATTGAATCAGTGCTATCGAAGCTCATACGTTACTGGAGTATGGGAGTCAGCTTTTCATTTAATGTCATTAAAGGACTTTGTGATAGAGGCTCATTTTATTGTTTCCCCTGATGAGTGGACAGTCTACGTGTCAGTAGGTTTAGTAAAAATCTGTCAACGTGATGGGCGGGACTTCAAGTCGTGTGCTGCATTCACTAAATATGGATTTTTATCTTAACAAACACATTTGGCTATGTTCATTATTAAACAAGGAAATTAAGCAGTTATCAAACAAAAGTATTAAGAACTACATAGCATAATAGGTGTAGATGAAAGATGGGATATACATACACAACAATAATATGCCCCATACTGGGGAAAGATAATGTTAACCATGACATAAAATTGCTTGGAACAACAGCATGACAAGGTGGAGCCACTTAAGTTCCCTTAGCACAGTTTTAGATGTATAATCACAAATTACAATGCACAAAAAATATTGAGCAACTTATAACACAACACCAAAGAAACCTAAGTAAACTGATTGGGAACAACCTTCTATAACTTGTTTCAAATACACATTTCTATAAAAAATATTGTTTCTAAGGGATTGTTTTCGTAATTGAGACCGTATTAGATTATAGGACATTTGTTTAAAAAAGTGTGTAATCCACATAGTAATAAAACAAGCCAAAGGTGAACATTTTTTACTTCTTCAAGTCAGTCTGATGGCAAGATAAAGTTTTCGTTTTTTCGGGGTGTCCCAAACGCCTCATAATCCCGGTGGCCAATCCTGTGTCTCTATTTTGCTAGTGGGCGTGGTATTAAGTGAGATCCTAGTAGTCGAAGCCCAACAGATAAACAACAAAGTTAGCATGCCAGGTAGCAACCAACTTCTTGTAGACATTGATTTTACAACAATGTTGACTTTTTTGTGTTATTTGCAACCTAAAAGTAAACCTTATGCACATTTCGTTACATTTTAAACATACATAGGTCACAGTTGCTTCGATATTTGTTCATTTAAATGTAAACATTTAAATACAAATGTGTTCTTTGGTATTAGCGTTAGCTAGGTAGCTTTGATAGTCAACCCACCTTTTCTGGTTAGTATTTATTATTTAAAGGAGTAAAGAAAATGAGGTTTGTTACGTTGTTTCTTTACTTTTTACTTTAATCTGCACTGTTTGTGTTTTTAGAGATGGCGTCATCCACGGCGACAGAGGCAGCAATATGCTCAGGCTCGTTACCAGTAGCAGAGTCCATAGTGCCTGCTTGTATGTTTGCACCGGACCAGGGACGTTCCGAAGACCCATCCGCTGAAGACAGCTTTGTGGATAGCGAGGGGACGAATGGAGAGTCCCTGGGTCTTCTAGACTTGAGCAACAAGGTAGGCCCTGCTGTGTAATTGTTATTTACAAATAAAAAAGTTTAGATGCATTAAGCGTATGTAGTTAGCTCTCCAGTATTTAAACCGGTGTATTTTGTGCTGGGTTGTGTTTAAGTGTAACATTAACAGGAGATGTTGCATCTACTGATTCAGGAAGCAGAAGAATAGAAAATAAGCAGATTTTTTAAAGTACATTTAGACTCCACAAGTTCTGTTCAGTGATGATTCTCTGTTTGTTTTCACGTCTCTTTCTCAGCTGGTTCTTGTGAGCCCAACAGGAGAACAGTATGATTCGTTACTACGACATCTAAGGGAGCGGATAGACGAGGGCTGTGGAGAGACGATATATGTGGTTGGGATGGGCTCAGGTATGAGTGACACACCTCAAAACAGAACTAAAGAACATCATGTTGTTGAAAGCAATCACAGTGATGAATAATATGTAACAGAAGTATTAACTGTATATTTAGAGGTGTGAGAAAAGTTTTGCTTTCCATCCAGGGTTTCCATACGTGTTGTGTGCATTTAGTGTGGGAGGGAACAGACTGTCATGAAGCTATAGATCTGTTATCTGCTCTGATTGCCAAGTTTCTGTACTGTTGCTTTAACCATTTACCATAAATTATAAAAACAAAACGGGGAATTATCAAACTAAGACTACTGCGGGAGGAGTTATGTCATCGAACACTAGGTCTCGTGCTTTGATCACTTGAATGAACACTTGAAGTTTATTTATTTGGTCATTGTACAAGTTGAGAGTGAAAAATCTCACCGAGAGAAATTGATAAAACACAGAAATAGATGAAAAACCCACCTTGATTGCATATTAATAACTGCTGCTTCATAACAAGCTGATTTCTGTTACTGTTCTGTTTACAGAGGAATTAATTTGAAGGCAAATGACACATTTCTCAAAAGGCAAGCTTACACACTGACATGTTTTATGTTTTAAACATCTAAATTGGGATTGAAAAGTGTTTTTTTTTTTGCCCATCTGCTAAAACGCCACAGCTCCGAAGTGCCGGTGTCATCACTTCTGTCCTCTGTGCCTCACAGGCAGCTCTTTGCTGTTTGGTTTTCATTCTGTTTCACACACAAACACGAGGGTTTTTTGTTGGCAGCCACACTTGTGCTGTTTTGTGCCTGTTGCAGCAGCATGCCTGACCCATGTGGCATGCTGGTGAGAGGGGGTGTTCTTGGTGCACGTGAACTGGTGTCATTTATCTGCGCCATCCAGTGGGACTCGACCTGCAATGCATCCGTTAGTATTCATGGTTCTCTCTGTCTGCTGGGGTTAACAGCTGCCCCGACTCAGCGTTTTGATTTCTCGTGGCAAGTTCGATTTATGTTTACCCGTTTAATTATAGATTCACTAGAATAAATACAATAAAGTTTATCTCTCACCAAATAGAATATTTGCTAAGAAATCACAATGCAACCATAGAAACATTACTTGGTACATATGTTGTGTGTGTGGGCGGGTGGGCTGGTGATGGTGTATGTGTGTGTCTGCTCTGTCTTCTCGATCCCCAGCGAGTCGTGGTGGATGGCTGCTTATACTGAGCCAGGATCCTCTGGAGGTTTCTTCCTGTTAAAAGGGAGTTTTTCTCTCCACTGTCGCTAAATCTCAGTGGCCTAGTGGTAGAGTGTCCGCCCTGAGACTGGGAGCTCAGGGGTTCGACTCCTGGTCGGGTCATACCAAAGACTTTTAAAAAATGGTACCCAATGCCTCCCTGTTTGACACTCAGCATTAAGGGGTTGGATTGGGGGGTTAAACCACCAAATAGTTCCCGAGCGCGGCTTGTCTGCAGCTCACCGCTCCCCCACGGGATGGGTCAAATGCGGAGAATAAATGTCGCACACACACCTGTGTGTGTGACAACTAATGGGACTTTAACTTTAAATGCTTGCTTAGTATGAGGATTGCTGTACTGGATGCAATTTGCTGGGTTCCTTATATAGGAAACATTTTAATGATTGGCCTAATGAACTGACCTGTATTGGGATATTTACTGTGTGAAGTGCCTTGAAATGACTCCTGTCGTGATTTGGCGCTTTATAAATAAACTTGAATTGAATTGAATTGAATGTGAAGAAGTTTGAAAAATAAACAGGAAGAAAGACAGGATTCCTGACCTCAAATCCAATATGGCTGCCTTGCACACGAAAAGTCGTGATAGCGACAGGGAAACAAAACTTTCTTTTTCATGTAATTTAGTAGTTCGTATGTAAATAAAATTTACTTTTCACACATGAAGCTACATCTCTACCCAGTTTTTGGTGTTCTGTGAGGATGGTGGCATCACTTTTGATGTGTTGTTTTTTTTAAGCATAGTTGTAAGAATTCAGGTTATTTTAGGACATTTATGGTCACAGTAATTAAGGTCCTCACACTCCCACTGTCTATTTCTGTATACGACCATGTTACTGGATGGGTTTTCATACGGTGTGATTACAGTGGGATGCTACAAACTCACTGCACGTTGCACATAGATTTTATGGCGAATGGTTCTCTGTTTCTTTCCTGCCTTTTCTGTGCAGATGGAGGTGATTACGGTCTGGATGAGAAGGACATGGAGGCGTCGGTAGCCACGGTGCAGTCGCTGTGTGAACAGGTTGAGGCTGACTTAATCCTGCTGAGAGAGAGGTCCGACACTGGCGGAAAGATTCGGGACTACCTCATCCGTCGGCGGGTGGGGGAGCAGGACTTCCTGGAAGTCAGGTGCAGAAGGAAATGAAGGATTCCGATTTGTGAGAAATGTATCTGCAGCTTTCTGTGAAGCGAGTTTTAAAGCTGAAACAGGTTGAGAAACGACTGTTGGAGCAGCTTTTTCTGTTTTCACTTTTCTCTTATGAAACAAAAGCATCCATGTCACTTTGTTCCTATTAAAGCTGCTTGAAATGACTTCATACTAGATATGACTTGTAGAAGCATACAGAATAAATGATTATGTTTGATAGAAAGGGACAAGGCCGATGTAGGGCTTCGCTGGTAAACAGAGGTCTGGTATTTTCTAAAATCTAGAGATTGAACAATGAATCAGCTGATTTTCTCACTCTGAATGTGCTTTTGACTCCAGAGTGGCGGTTGTTGGGAATGTGGACGCTGGAAAGAGCACCCTGCTTGGTGTGTTGACCCACGGCGAGCTGGACAATGGCAGAGGCTTTGCTCGCCAGAAGCTCTTCAGACACAAACACGAGATGGAGAGTGGCCGGACCAGCAGTGTGGGCAATGACATCCTGGGCTTTGACCAGGAGGGACAGGTGAAGCGTGACGATTGAATCGCCTTAGAATCGCGACGCATCCATTTATCTGTGTATATCTTTTTTTTTAGGTGGTGAACAAACCAGACAGCCACGGTGGGGGGTTAGACTGGACCAAGATCTGTGAGAGATCCTCAAAGGTCATCACTTTCATCGACCTGGCCGGCCACGAGAAGTATCTGAAGACCACCGTGTTCGGCATGACTGGCCACCTGCCTGATTTCTGCATGCTCATGGTGAGTGAGTGAGAGAATCATATTTGGTTTCCGGCGCCTTCTCATTGTTTTTCCATGTCTGCTCTTAGGTCGGAAGTAACGCCGGTATAGTTGGGATGACCAAAGAGCATCTGGGTCTGGCTCTAGCTCTAAATGTACCAGTATTTGTTGTGGTGACTAAGATAGACATGTGTCCAGCAAACATCCTGCAAGGTAAGGGAACTCACTTCTCCTGGAATGCATAAATAACACAGCAATGCTTTTAAGTTAGGGTTCATGCTGCTCAGCTGTTACTGAAATTAAAGATTCTCCAGTAGAACAAGTTGAATAAAAAATAATGAGCTTAATTATAAGAGATGGGCTGGGTTTGCACGAGCAGCAAACCAGTTGAGGGAGAATGTAAAAGATAAGGTCGGGCGATACCTGAACAGATTTTGAAAGTAGAATTCATCAGGCCAAAAGAAGATCACGATGAGTGATCCGTCTGTGCAGGTGACGTTTAGAGGTTTTGTGGGGCTGACACACCTCACGCAGCCATCCACCAATCACAATTGCCCTTACTCGGTTTGTGGAAGCAGACCATCATGGGTGAAAAAGAGCAGTACAGCAGAACAATAATCCCAGAAATCACTTCTCATGGATGGTTGTCTTTCCACAGAGACACTCAAATTATTACAGAGGTTATTAAAGTCACCAGGCTGCAGGAAAATCCCAGTTCTGGTCCAGAACAAGGATGACGTTGTGGTTACAGCTTCCAACTTCAGCTCTGAGCGGTAAGCACAAAGATGTGGAGCCATGAAAGATTTGGCATCCAAGAATTCTTCAGAACAGGCGGATAAAAATGAGACTGAAAACTTTTGGTTTCACTCGTGGATTTTTTTATAGACGTAGATTCCATCAGATCCACTTGCTGTTGATCACGTTTCTGTTCTGATGCTCCTACGTTTTAGGGTGTGTCCAATTTTCCAGATTTCAAATGTGACGGGGGAGAACATGGACCTACTGAAGATGTTTTTGAACCTTCTGTCTCCCAGAACCACTTTTAACAATGACGAGCCTGCTGAGTTTCAGATCGATGACACTTACTCCGTACCGGTGAGATGTACTGCCCACTTTGTTCTCTTTGTTCTGATTATGCTCTAAAGAGGTTTCCAAGAGAAATCAGGCCTGTACTTGTACATCAAATCAAATCAAATCAAAGATACTTCATTAATCCCAGAGGGAAATAAGAGTTTCAGTACACACAATTCAGAGATCAGACATATATGGGCAAGACACATGACAGGAATTGTTAACTGTGGTCATTTGCAACCCTGAGTCGCGCTACCTTAATAGAGATAAGAGGGGTTACATGAGGATTGGTTCAGGTGGAGGAAAAAAAGGCACTTCAGAGTTACCCTCCACCAGGAGGGCAGCTTTGCTCTGTAAAAAAAAAACACCTCAAATATATATATGCAACAGACTTCAGACAACACAAGTGTCCACTAGGTGGGGTGGTGGGCTGGGACTATCCCTACTTCAGTTCCTGCAGCCACTACCAGCAGCGCATGTCCCCTCAGTGTGGATAGGGGGAGGAGCATTGAGGGTTGGAGGGTTGCAGTGACCCTGGAACGTTTCAGCGGCCTTCCCGCAGTCCTGCCCAGGCTGGGATAGGAGACAGAGTTGAGTTGCCATAGCGACAGCACATTCCACATATCTTCTGAGGGGGGAGTTTTCGTTGGAGCCTTGCTGGCTCAATGACGCCAGATTCCGATTAGAAATTGTTTTGGGGCCAGACAGAGATAATTTCCTCTCTGTCTTACAGTTTGTTGGTCCTCAACCTCTCAAAATCCCAATAATGGACATTAATCTATCCCAATCCGTGCTGATTCATCCACTCTCTCCTTGATGGCATTCATCTTTTGTGCCAATAATGAATCTCAGCCAAAGTCCCAAGCTTACGATTCATCTCGGCAATTTTGTGAGTCTGTGAATTCACAACAAGGTGCAATCCATCTCTGAGCTCCGGGATCAGGCCAATATTTCTCGACAGCTCGTTAAATTTCCGGTAAGTCAGGTAGCCTCCAAGGCCAATGAGCAGGAAACCTGACACCAACACCACAGATATCCACACGTCTTCAGAGTCCTCCACAGACAGCTGGTCTGTCCCGGAGGGACATCCGGGAGCCCCTTCTCCTGTTCTCATCGTTAAAAAAATTGTATCAACCGCGTTGAGAGTCCAACTGACGAGATCCATTTTAGTGAATTTCAGTTTCCAGAAAAAATGCAGAAGCAGCCGTGCACCCAGCACACACAGACACAAAGGCCTTGAGGATAAGGTATCGAGGAGAGGAGAGAAGAAAAGCGTCTGCATCCTTCAAGAGCCAGAAGAACTGTTCCAGTTTCATCTCTGAGTTTCTATCAGTACTGATGTATAATGTCTGGTCCTTTCTCTTCTCTTGGCAGGGTGTGGGCACAGTCGTTTCAGGGACTACGTTACGTGGATTGATACGACTGAACGACATGCTGCTCTTAGGCCCAGATCCTCTTGGCGTCTTCATCCCCATCGCTGTGAAGTCCATCCACCGCAAGAGGATGCCTGTCAAAGAGGTTCACGGTGGACAGACGGCTTCCTTCGCTCTAAAAAAGGTTCAAATGGGAACATTTTCAGCTACAAAGAGCTTTTTTAAGCTAAAATTACAATTATTTTTGGTTTTGAAAAAGCTGATATTGATTTAATGTTAGCCCATGCTTTCCACCAAATCTGTAAGTGGCACATTATGTAGTGAGACGCATCGCCGGCACATCCCTTCCCACCATGAGTGTTTCAGACGTGCATTGGCAGTGACAGCATCCCACATATCGGGATCACTGAGTCACTTCGAGATTTTCAAAGCCGTGCGTGATTCCGGAAGTTCACACGGTAACAAGCAAGGAGAAAGATGGCAGCATGCATCCAAAAGGGTCTGGTTTATCTTCTGTTAACTCGGCCACAGAGGCGTCACACGTAATGAGGGATTTCTCTCATTAATTGTGCAACTAGAAATCCACACGTGTTTTTAATTTGAAAGTTGGGGCGATGGTGGCAGAGGAATTAAGTGTCCGCCCTGTAATCAGAAAGTTGCAGGTTCAGTCCCCGTTCAGTCTGTCGCTGTGTCCTTGGGCAAGACACTTAAACCTCCTTGCCTGCTGGTGGTGGTCAGGGGCACCGGTGGCACCTGTGTACAGCAGCCTCGCTTCTCTGTGAGGCCCAGGGCAGCTGTGGCTGTAAACCACCTGTGTGTGTGTGTGTGTGTGTGTGTGTGTGTGTGTGTGTGTGTGTGTGTGAGAGAATGATGATTGTGTTGTAAAGTGCCTTGGGGGGCTCTAGGACTCTAGTAGCCACTTTATCAGATACAGGCCATTTACAATTTGCTGGATGTTTTTCGCTGGTCCCGTGTTTGACTTCCTGTCTGGCTTGGTGTGAACTAGATCTTCTGGAAGTGTAGCACGTAAAATAATAGCCCTTAAATGTAAATTTAGCTGAGCGACTTGACTCTACGCTTCTGGGATGCGTCAAACATGCGCGGCTCTGCAGCCTGTGGAAATGCATCCACCGACCTTAACGGCGTTTCTTCAGCAGATGTTATTTCTCATGTGTGTTTTGTTCCTCCACTTTCTTTCAAATCTCAGATCAAACGAGCCGCAATTAGGAAAGGAATGGTGATGATTTCTCCAAAGTTACAGCCTCAAGCCACTTGGGAGTTTGAAGCGGAGATCTTGGTGCTGCACCACCCAACCACGATATCACCCAGATACCAGGCCATGGGTCAGTCGGATAGGCTGGTGCTTGTTTTTCTTGTTTGTCCGGACACCGTGTGAAAACTGCATCGTTCTTCTTTTAGTTCACTGTGGCAGCATTCGACAAACCGCCACCATCCTGTCGATGAACAAAGACTGTCTCAGGACGGGGGACAAGGCCTCAGTTCACTTCCGCTTCATTAAGACGCCGGAGTACCTGCACTGTGATCAGAAGCTTGTGTTCAGGGAGGGTCGCACCAAAGCTGTTGGGACCATCACTAAGGTACCGTTTTTAGGTTTCGACCGATAAGTGATGTTAATGTCAGGTGTAACCACGTCTAACGGGTCTCCTATGTGCAGCTTCTCCAGTCCGTGAGCACCCAGGCTGCCAGAGCCCAGCAGTCCAGGTCCCAGGCTAGTAAAAAGACTTTCAGAGAGGGCGCAGAGGACGCCGCTGGATCAGCCGGACGGCCGCAAAGCCCAACTGCCACACAGGTGTCGGTGAGTCCTCGATGTCACGTTTGTTGTTTTTAAACTGCTCCTCCGTTTGCGTTCTTGGCAAAGACGTCCTCCTTTATCTCCTCTGGATTTTCTGCTGTTTGTTTTCTGTGCTTGGCTTGTAACGCTTCACTTTCCCGCTGTCATCTCCCTCCCTCCCTCCCTGTCTTGACATGCGGCGTTAGACAGTGGCAGAGGAGGCTCAATGTAAAGATGACAGCAAGGAGACCAAGGTAAAGGAGCGTCTGCAGGAGTCGCGACCGTGACCCCTGCTGCTCGGACGCCATTCTGCTGCCACTCATATTCTTTTATTCCAAACATTCGAGGGACTATTTAATGTTTATAAAAGCAAAAGTACAAAATCTTCCTTCAATCATCTCACAAAATAATCAGCCAGTTTCTACCATCATGAGTGTCATTTGTGCTAAAATGACATAAAAAACCTGAAACATCCATTAAAACATGGAACATCTGTTTCCCTTTGGTGACATTTTAAGTGTTTTAATCTTTATTAACATTTAAATTTAAAGCTCAACCTCACAGAGATGCAGAATAACAGCTAACCCTGTCCTGTCTGCAGCTGAAGCCAGGAAGTGGAGGACGCCGGCGCGGTGGTCAGAGGCACCGAGGGAAAAGCCTGAATACTGCATCAGTAGCTTCAGCCGTACCTGCAGGAGCGACGGACACATCCTAAAGGTCCAGTCTTCGCTGCCTCCACGACTCATCATCATCATCGTCTCTGAAATAAACCAAAAGGACCTTTATCCATCTGCTGCTCCAAATGTCGCTGTTGTTGTTCAACCTCCATCGTTTTTCGATCCTCTTGTGTTTTTCTCCGCTTGATCCTAACGCCCGTTTGGGATCGCATCACGTTTCAGAAGCACGTTGTCCTCAGATGTTCTGTTAAACAGTTATGTGCCGCAGATAAAATTCTTATTTGTACTCAAACCCTCCCAACTCTGAATTTTGTTCAGCCTACCAGGGTCAGAACTGAAACATGGTGAGATCATTTAAAAATACATTTTCCAACAAACATATTCTATTGAAAGGTGCAGTTATTATAATTTTATTAGAACATTACTTTTTTACAAAATCCTCTTCAAATATCCAAGTTTGTTGGTACAATAGATCACTTTTATTCATTTCTCATGCAACTGATGTTGTATAAACATTCTTGTTTCAGTTTTAAATTTAGCTCTTGCAGTTAGAAAAAGGTTGTAATACTCCCTCTTTTTGTACAATTTTCTAAAACTTTTATGTTGAGACTTTCAAGCAAATTTAGTTCTAAAGTCAAAAAAATGGTGCATTTTGGGTCAACCGCTCATCATGTTAAAGAACACATGCACAAAAAAATATAATGTTTGTGCCTCGGGGATGAAATTCCTACCAGTAAGAACGGGCCGACAGTTATGGTAAATACGGCATCTATGTAATTAATCAGCCTGGTTATATCGACTAAATCTGGTAGTTTACCTGCTAATGATGTCTGTCATGGATAATGGCGATAAATAAAGCAGGTCATGGAAAGTTAGAATTTTTTCCACATTTCTTCCTCCAGGCATAAAACGCTTTGTTTTCATGGCTCATAAAGGTTCAAATTGCCAAAAATATTTATTGTTTCTTCCCCATTCTGACTTTGATTTCGTTTTTGGGTCTGTTTGTGTATGAAAATGTAAGGAAAAGAAAATGGAGCCAGTTTTATGTTGTGTTCTTTTAAATAAAGATGTTACAGAAAACCAACTTCACGAGCTTTAAGTCAACCCGTTTCGAGGTGTTTTTTAGATGGTTTGGAACAATTAGTTCAGATGAGGACTTCTCTTCATAAAGTCTTCACAGGATAATTGTCTCCTAAAATTGAAATGAGGCAGAATCAAGATTCGATCTTGAGGTCAAATAAGGTGACAGCAAATAAAAATTTTACCTGAGTCACAAGAAGATATTATTAGGTTATCGGTGTGCACAGAGAAGCCGTTATAATCCGAGAAGGAATCTGGATTGGTGATTTAAAACAACGTTTGTCATAGTCAAGTGCTTTTCTCTGAAAACCCTTAATTATATTTTTGCATAATTTATAAACCCTTGAATGCCAAATGTTTCTTATCTTATTGGCCTGTTTCTGGGATTCTAACACCTTTATCTCTTTCTCTGGATTAGTACGTTCCTTATGAACCTAATGCATCATTTAGGTGACCTCTGTCTGGTGGAAATTCTACGAGTGCACATTTAATTTGATTTTGCATAATAAAACAAAACGGACAGTTATGTAATTGTTTTATTACCCATTATAACAAAATGTAGCCCAACAGACTAAATGAAATAATTGGTTTATACCAAATGCAGTAAGTAGATCATCCACTAGAAGGCAGGCCAGGGTCACCAACTAGACCAGGGGTCACCAACTCTGGCCTTGAGGGCTACCATCCTGCACATGTTAGGTGTTTCTTTGCTCCTACACACCTGACTGAAATAATGAGTAATTAACAGGTCTGTGCGAAGTTAAGGAGAATATTAAAGCACTCCATTCAGGTGTGGTACAGCAGGAAACAGAAAATTAGCAGGATGGTAGCCCTCAAGGACTGGAGTTGGTGACACCCGGTGGTGGTTTTACCATTAGGTAAAATGAAGGTCGGCGGCTGCCTGGTTGAGGCCCCCTTATGTCGTTTTGCCCCCTAGCCCTGACCGCCTGCACCCCTTTGTTAATGCCACAATGGACTATTCATTTAAGATGCTGGTACACAAACAGGAAGCAAATGGTAGTCATTCCACCCCAATCCAGTTGGTGGCAGTAATGCACCAAATCGTTGTTTGCCAAGTGCATAAGACCACAAATAATATTAAGAAGTGAAAGCAGAAGAAGAAGAGAGGTGGGGGCATTCGAAACAAACTCAAAGCGGTAGTCCAAACATTAAGCATGACATGGAGTTCTCCTATGGCTCCAGTAAGAGAAAGAAGCAGCTTGCTTCAAAAAAGCTTTTATCTTCACTTCCGTAAATAACGTTGTTTTTCTATGTAAATATCAAAAAGAAGCAGAAAGGAAAGACTATAGAAAATGTTTAAAGGGAGGAAAACAGAGACCAAAATGGAAAATAGAAAACAATCAAAATAAAGGCAAAAGCACAGGAGCACTGACAGGAAGAAGAAAGCAGAGCAAATATTGAAAGCGCTCAAAGGGAGAGAAAGACAGAAAAAAAGAGGAGGACTAATAAAAAAGGAAAATAACTTATGTCAGAAGAGGGGAGAGTTTCACAAATCCAGTTAAAGATAAGATTATCGAAAATTTAGTGTAAGGGGTCCCATGTCTGTGTTCGGCTTGGGCCCCCAAATTGCTAAATCCGCCACTGGTGACACCTGATCTAGACAATGACAGTGGCTGAGGAGTTAAGTGCTTGCCCTGTAACTGGAGGGTTAGAGTCCCACTAGTTTTCACACACACTGGTGTGTGGAATTTGTTCTCAGCATTAACCCATCTCCTGGAGGAGTGGTGAGCTGCAGACACGGCTGTGTTCGTAGATTCATTTGGTGGTTTAACCCTCCAATCCAACCACTTAAAGCTGAGTGTCAAGTGGGGAGGCACTGTGTCCCATTTTTAAAGTTTGGCTATGATATGACCATGCATTTGAACCCATGATCTCCCAGACACTCATACCATTAGGCCACTGAGCTGGTTTGCCTGTTTAAGCCCCGTCTTTCACACTCGTGTCCTTGGGCAAGACACTTACCCCGCCCTGCCAGCTAGCGGTAGTCGAGGGGCTGGTGGGCGGTGGCGCTTGTGTTTTTCTTCTGTCAGTGCTGCTGTAGCTATGTTGTAGCTCATCGCCACCTGTGTGTGTGCATGGGACACAGTAGTTCAGGAGGTAGAGCGGGTTGTCCAGTAATCGTAAGGTTGTAGGTTTGATCCCGGCTCCGACCAGAGAATGCTGCTGTTGTGTCCTTGGGCAAGACACTTAACCCACCTTGCCTGCTGGTGGTGGACGGCGGGACCGGTGGTGCCTGTGCTCAGCAGGCCTCACCTCTGACAGTGTTGCCCGGGGCAGCTGTGGTTACATTGTAGCTTGTCCCATCCAGCGTGAATGAGTGAATGACTGTGTTGTGAAGTGCCTTGGGGGGTTGTAGAACCACTATAGAAATACAGGCCATTGACCATAGAATTCTTTGTGTTGTGTTATAGAGGAAAGTCTAATCCCGGTAAAGACTTAAATGTCTTAAATGATTTTTTTTTTATCACAGGGAATATTTAAATAGTACATAGAAAATGTTTATTGTTTTACATTAGAAACAATGTGATAAACTTCTATGTACTTGACAAAATTATTCACACTTAAAGTTATGTTTTAGTAAACTGAGCCTCCATATTTAATTTTCACATAAAGATTTTTGAACAATCCAAAAGGAAATGCAAAGGCTTAACTGTGCAGGGAATATTTCCCCCACTAAACTAACAAAAGATGATAAAATAACATCCATTAATCATGAATCAACTGCCTCCGTGTTTCCTGTAAAATGACAAGTGAGCTTCAAAGGAATGCTGCGCATGCCAGTCAAGAATGTCACATTTCTAAATGTGTCTCTCTCTGAAGCTTCATCTACTTAATTATTGAATTGATGCAGATCAAATGGAGTCAGTTACTGATATCAACATACAAAAATAGACAAGGTATTTCAGAAACTTTCTGTTTTTTAAGTTTATTTGAGCCAGAGGTTTAGAAAGTGGCTGATCTTGATTTCAGTCTCTGATTTTGTTAACTTTCAGGATGAGCCTCACACTTCAGACACACAATCACCAACGTGTCTTACTTCAAGGTCATTCAACAAATATGCAGCAGGTGTAAGTCTGCGGCCTCCGGGTCTGAAGCCTTACTGAATAGTTACTTATACACAGCAGATGTGGCCATCAATCAAAATAAATAACAGATTACAAGTAATTAAACGATGTCTATTTAGACAAAAAACAGCACTAAATAAAAAGTCCATCTCTAGTTTAGTTAATACATTCATTATGAAATCCAGACATATTCTTATGCTGTTTAAAATAAAAATTAGTAACCTTTAAAAACAGTTTTTAATGTCTGTTTGTGTTTATTAGTGTATTTGGGCATTTTTGTCTTGAACTAATAACTAATAATTTTATATTTGACATATTTAATTAGAAATTACAAACCGTTGCTGATGAAATATTGTACATCAATACTTCTATTTTAGATTACCTTTGGATAATTTTAAGAGATACTTTGCAAATGTTTCATTTTTTTAAATCATTTTCTTGTGCCAGTATGTGCTAAAATTACCCTTTACAGAGTTAATGAAATGTCACTCAGACCCCTACCGCCCCTTGTGGCCAGAATACCGCACTTGCAACTTCACAGTGGCGAGTCACCACCTGTTGGACTTAGAAAAAAATGGAGCTGACATACCTGTTGCTGCAGGCTGCTACCATCACATTTCCTGCATGTTTTAGATCATGAACACAGATGAAATGTTTAATATAGTGATGAATCGCTCCTGTAGAATCTAATTAAGGCTTAGGAGACATTTCAGCTGTTAGATTAAGGTGTTAAAAGACAAAGGCACAGCAAGGAAATAAGTTTGCTTTTGGTTCTGCTAAATAGACACTGGGGGTGCTAAAAGCAAGCCAAAACTGCTTATTATGCCTTAGATTGGATTTATTCAGAGAAAGAACCTTTTAATTCTACGACTGATGTAGTTTTGCCATATTTCCACGAGAGGGCGTGTGACCATGTTTGTAGCACAGCAGCTAGTTGCTGTTAGCTTCTGCTTTAGCTCATTGGTTTAATTTTGTTTAACACAGATAGTTAAAATAATTTTTTGGTGATTCTGTAGTGAAGTAGTTATTAGATGTATGGACACTCTGGCTTTTCCCATTATTTAGACTATGCCATAAATGCTAAAAGCTGTAGTAGATTTTAAAAAGTCGGTTTTATTTTGAAGGATTTTTCAGGAAGTAGACATATTGTAAACCCCACAAAGGCTCTATTTCAGGGGAAATAAAAATACCAACAAAGAAATAGACACATTTCTTACTTTTTGTTCTGGATTCACGTCAGACCGCTTAAGCTGACTTTCCTGTCACTTCTGGACATACATGCGCCTAACCCTAACCATACTGATCAGTACTGTGAGCTTTTAGAAATCATGACGTAATCCGGGTAGCTTCAGCTGAATATCCTGGACCAACAGTTTTAGCACCAAAATGGACATTTTTACTGTTTTTCTCTTACTAATACACCATGCGTCATTGTAATCGAGATATTAACTTTTTTTTTCCATAAGAGATTTTTGTTTGTGTCAGGAAGCATCTGCTTATTGATATTAATGGATGCTTAATTCAGCCAGTGGAAATCTTTTCTGGCTCCTGTGAAAAACTGCTTATAGAGACTGTTTGCTTGACAAACACAACAGTCTGCCAGAGACCAGCAACGGGGATGGAGTGTGGGTAAACCGACTGTGGTTCATGTTGTGCAGAGAGGAAGCACAAACAGACTGATAGACAGATGGCGAGAAACTGGCTGGCAACAAAATGGTCCGAAGAAATAGTGTGTTGATTCAAAAAGTGTGTGGGAGGAGGGAGAGACAATGAGACAGGGAATTGGTTAGAAAGAAAACTCAAAAAGAAGACTGGAGAAATCACAAATCCACAAAAGAAGAATTATATAATGTGTTAGCAGATATAAGGTCAAGTAAAATATTTTTAGGGACTGCAGACTAAGCAAAAGTGAGCCAAT